GGTTACTCCTGGCTCTGCACTCAGGAATTATTCCTGGCAATGCTTGGGGGACCATACAGAATGCCAGGGATCAAACCTGGGTTGGCCGCTATGCAAGGCAAATGCCCCACTCACTGTGCTAACTCTCCAGCCCCGTGATAGCACAGGAGGAAACCTAAGCTGTGTGATGGAGCTGGAGAGTAGAGTCGGGGTGTTGGGGTGAGGGTGGTGGCAGGTGCAACTGGCAGTATCATGCAAAGGGACCTGTGAGAAAGGTTGAGTGACAACTGGAATGCTGTAGGTAGCTGGTGAGATCACGGAGGAGGTTGGGGAGTAGAGATCTGGAGTCGGCCTGTGAGCAGTTACAGCAGGCCTGGGGATGGGGTGGAGGCGCCAAGTGTGCCGGGCTAGAGCTACCAATCTGGGAGCCATCAGCAGTAAGGTGGCTCCGATGGTTTAGGCCATGGGCCTGGCCAGTACCACCAGAGGAGGGGAAAGAAGAGCCCTATGGGGGCCAGAGTGATAGTGACAGTGGGATGGGAAGGGCATTTACCTTGCATATGAACCTGGGTTCAATCCCGACATCCTGTATGGTCCCCCGAATACCACCAGGAATGATTCCTGAGTGCAGAGCCAGGATTACCCCTGAGCATAACTGAGCATGGCCTGCCTCTCCAGGGGGAAAAAAAACTGAAAATAAAAGAGGAGGAGGCCCATGGCAGGTCAAGGACAGAGGTGGTGGCTGAGAAGCTGGGAATGGGAGGAGGCCTAGGAGAGAATGTCATTACAGAAGCAGGGGAATTTCAAGAGTGGCTGGTGGCACTGCAGGCAGGAGACGTCTAAAAACGGTGCTGGAGGGCCGCAGCAGAGGCTTTGCATGCAAGAGGCCTGGGTTCAACCCATGACACCCCTCCTCACACAGTACAGGGAGCAACTTGACCCTCAAGCACCAGCTCAGAAGTAGCCTCTGTATACTCAGGGCCTCGAGCAGACCAGTTCCGTCCGAGTTCCATCTCTGGAACCTCGTGGCCCTTGGGCACTGATGAGTGTACCCCTGGTGGTCTGTGAGTACCACCAGGAGGGGAGTAGAATCCTCAAGCACTGCCAGGGTTCATATAATGATGAAGTGTACAGTTCTTGGCAACATGGAACAACCTTGGGGGGGGGGGGCATTATACTATGCAAAAGAAGAGAAAGACAAGCACTGCCCAATCTTTTTTTTTTCGGGGGGGGGTTACACTCGGCGATGCTCAAGGATTACTCCTGGCTCTAAGAGCTCAGGGGACCATGTAGGTGCCGGGGATTGAACTTGGGTCAGCTGCATACAAGGCAAGCGCCCTATCCCTACCTCTCTGGCCTGCACTGCTCTTAGAAGTGGAATCAAAAGAACCAAGCTCAGGGGGGATTCTTTTTGGGGTGTGTGGAGAGACAGTACAGTAGGTCAGGCACTGGCACTGCACGTGGCTAAACTGACCCAAGTTTGATTCTTGGCACCACCACTGGTCCCGAGGCTGCCAGGAGTGATTCCGTGAGTGCAGAGCCAGAAGGAAGCCCTGAGCACCGCCAGGTGTGCCCTCCCCATAACAAAGAACCAAATTCAGAGAATAGACTGGGGGCTGAAAGCCGTTGGTTAAGGGTGTGCACGGGAGGGCCGAAAGGGGTGGAAAAGGTATAAAGTTCTAGGAAGAGCTCATGAAGATAACAATGTTCAGCATACAGCTGGAGATTACAACCTCATATATTGCTAGTGTATCTGAAGGTGGCAAAGAGTAATCTTTGAAGTGAAACAAAGTTTAAACAATGAAAAAAAAAACAATGAAGCAAGACAGTTTTATTGAAAGACATTTTACTTAGAAAGGTGTGAGAGTAGAGAAAAAGAAGAGAAAGCGTTCGAGAGAGAACATGGGCTTCTCCAGAGTGGAAAAAAACCCTGTAAACAGTAAATTTTTTTGGGGGGGGGAGGGAGGCGGGGAGCAAGGGTTGGGGGTTTGAGTTCAGCGGTGTTTAGGGTTTACTCTTGTCTCGATGCTCACTGTTCATCCTGGAAGGTCAGGAGACCATATGCGGTGCTGGGGATTGAAGCCCAGGCACATCCTACCCACTGGATTAATGCTCTGCTCCTCCAGAGAGTGATTTTAATAGTTCAGTTTATCAGCATATAGGGGGGGGGAATCTCTAAGAGCTGAACACAAGCTTTGTATGCTAATTTGATGCCCCTGGGTTTGATTCCCAGCACCACACTGCCAGGAGCCCAGCCCCAGCACTGGATTGAGAGTAACCCCTGAGCACCACCAACAGTAACCCTAGTGGCCCCCAAAACAAAGAGAATTAAATGTCAATTGTCTTCCAAAACAATTCAGTGGTTTTCAGTATAGTCACAGAGTTGTACAAGTATCATCCCACTCAATTACAGAATATTCCCACAACCCCCACCCAAAGCTCTCCAAGTTCTAGCGAGCCACGACCCCCCTCCCCTCTGTGTGTGGAGGGAAATAGAAAAGTTTATTGGAAAGCAGAAGGGAAAGGAAAAGAAACTCCCCAGCTGAGGAAGAACTTAGTATAGGACTCAATTACCTCTCCTGAGCCTACTTTCTGTCTTTGCAGATCTGCCTATTCTGAACATTTCATGCCCACGGAATAATAGACGATGGATTTTTTTTTGCCTGAGCATGATGCTCTCAAGATTCGTCTACTGCTGGAGCACATGTCAGGACCTCATTGCTGTTTTCTTGCTCCAACATAGTCTGTGATACGAACCGAACCGCACCTCTTTAGCTTAGTGTAAATGACCGTTGGTCTTGTTTCCGCCCTCTGGCTATTGCATCTAGAGCCACTAGACCCATTCATTGGGCACAGTCTAGAGGAAGGCTGTTTTCACTTCAGTGTGTAAGAAACAGGCCTGGAACTGCAAGGCATGATGTTACTTTCATCTTTTTTAAAAAAAAAAATAAATAAGGGGGGAGCACAGTGGGTGGAGCATTTGCCTCGCATACAGCTGACCTGGGTTTGATTCCCAGCATCCCCTATGGTCTCCCGAGCACCACCAGGAGTAATTCCTGAGTACAAAGCCAGGAGTAACCCCTGTGCATTGCCGGGTATGACCCCAAGAGCAATAAATAAATAAATAAATAAATAGGGCACTGGAGCTTTAGCGGAACTGGCAGGGCACTTGCTGTGCATACAGTCAAGCTGGGTTCGATCCCCAGCACTGCCTGGAGTGATCCCTGAGTGCAGAGCCCAAAACAAGCCCTGAGCATTGCTGGGTGTGCTCCACTCCACTCTCTGCCCCCCCCCCCAAAAAGAGGACAGGGCCAGGGAGAGAGGTCGCAGGGTTGGAGCACATGTTGTGCATGCTGGAGGCATGGCTGGATGCCCACCACCCCATGGTCCCCTGAACAATGTGCCAAAAATAGACTCTAAGCACCAGGGGTAATCCCTGAGTCACAACTGGATGAGAATACACCAACAGATGAAGGCCATAGTGAAGATGGGATAAACTGGGAGGAAGAATGAAGGTCCATCTTGGGGCAGATGGTACCTACCATTACAGATGTGAGGAGAGAACTGAAAGAGACTGGTATGGCAGGAAAAAGAGGTGCACTGAGAGTAGGCTTGGTAGAAAGACGAGGAAGCATGGGGTTCGTCTAGGGCAGTGGGCTGGGGGAAGTAGAGTTCCCAGAAGCAGGAGCAAGGTCAGCAGTTGGGAGGGAGGTGGAAGGGGTATAGGCACAGGGTGATCCAGCCAGTGAGCTTGTCCTGGAAGAGGAGCTCTCCTAGCGCCTCAGTCAGACTGCGGGCTCTTAAGCCAGACCCAGAAGTGAGAGTAGTCAGCTCCATCGGGGTTCCCTGGGTAGGAAAAGGCCAGTGTCAGCGGACAAGTTCAGGGAAGGGAAAAAAGGGAGACCATGGTTTGGGGGAAGATCAACGTGGGGAGGGAAAAGACTGGCAGGGGATGGCAGTGAAAAGTGGGAAGGGCTTCAAGAGTGTGTGGGAGGGGGCTGGAGCGATAGTCCAGTGGGTAGGGCATTGGCCTCGCACGTGGCTCAACCCAGGTTAGATTCCCAGCATCCCATATGGTCCCCCGAGCACCACCAGGAGTAATTCCTGAGTGCAGAGTCAGGAGTAACCCCTGAGCATCACCGGGTGTGATGCAAAAAAAAAAAAAAAAGTGTGTGTAGGACCAGCAATAAAGGAGGCCATGGTGGATGGGGTGGGGGGGTGTGTGGGGAAGATTGATTTTGGTTTCCACTTGGAGGACGGTGTTATTTAGGCCACAAAGCGGTGTTCGGGACTTACTCCTGGCTGCGCTTGGGGGACCATATGAGGTGTTGGGGGTGTTCACCACAAGGCAAGCACCCAACCACCAAAATGCCCACCCCCTCCAAATGGGTAATGAGGGTCAACTGTGTGATGACAGACAGTAACTTGCCTTCAGGGATGACCACAACATACGGGGTGGTGCTTAGGGCTTACTCTCACGTTTAGGGATCCTCCTTGCTCAGGGCTTGGCTCTGCACTCTTGGTGGGGCTCAGGGAACCGAGTCGAACCTGGGTCAGCTCGATGCAAGGCAGTACTCTAGCCACAGTCGAGGCAAGAGCTCTAGCCACAGTCATATCGCTCTGGCCCTCGGATCTCCAATCGTAACTCCACACACCTGAAACTGACCTGATGCTAGCCACCGTCATACAAATGTATGAGAAACAAAATGATGCGTCCACGTGGCTCACACTGTGCCTGTGCTTCGGAGTGGAGCTTCGCACACCCTCTCATCCGTCCCAGCACCCTGAGCTTTGCGATGTTCTCAGGGCCAGCTAGGCAGAAGGAAGCAGATGGGCTTCACCAGCGGGGTTGGGTGCGGGGCACGGTAATGGTCCCGAGTGGCCCAGCCAGCAGGGCCTTACTCTCCAGGTGTTTAGGAGGCCCAGGCTTGCACGTGTGACTGACAGGTGCTCTAGGCTCCCGGGGAGTGAGTCTTCCCCGCAGGCCACCTGCGTCTCCCCTCCCAACCGCAGGGGCTTACCTTGGCCACCTCCCAGGCGTCGACAGGCCAGCGGCCCGGCCGGCAGTTTCCCCAGTGGACGTCTCCATTTCTGTTGGTGTGATGTTTCAAAATCTCTCGTTTCCACTCGGCGCACACCTGACACTGAGGCTGAAACTACAGTGGGGGCGGTGAGGAGGGGCCCGGCAGGGAGGGGCGAGCCTCAGACCTAGCGGGGAGGGCCCGGGACCCTGGACTGGGGAGGGGGGGGAGGGGAGGGGCGGGGCTCGGACCGGGACAGGGGCGGTGGCTGAGGCCCCGAGCCAGGGGGCTCACCTGGCGGGCGCGCGGGCTGCAGCGCGAGCCGCTGAGGCAGGTGGCGCGGGGTCCCAGGCTGGGGTCAGCGGCGAGCAGGCCCTGGTGGAAGGCGAGCACCTCGCGGCCAACGAAACCTTGCAGGCAGCCGCGCAGCAGTAGCAGGCAGTGGCCCGCTTTCACCCAGTTCTTGTACTCGGCGCAGTTGAGGCGCGCCGCCAGCTCCGGCAGCACCATGACTCACCCCCGCTCCGGAGCTCCGGGGGATGCACGGGGCCGAGGGGCGGGGCGGACGGCAGTGCGCAGGCGCGAGAGCCTGGGAAGCGCCGGCGTCAGCGGCAGCGTCGTAGGCGTGGCCCCACCCACGAACCGCCCCCAAGTGCGGGCGGGGGGAGGCTGAGCGCTTCCGCGGCGGCGGCGGCGGCGGCGGCGGCCGATTCCCGGCCGGGCGTTCCCGGCTTCCAACTACACCACCCCCCCCCCGCCCCGACCTGGCACTGCCTTCTCTGTTCTTCCCCGAACCAACTCCTCGCTTCCGTGCTGCTGTTCTTTGTTTATTAGAGAGACGTACGAAGGGCACACGTCTTGAATTACGTTATGTTGCCTGCGTTATACAGTTCGTGGAGAAGTTTAAACTGGGTCCTAAACTCAGATGGGCGGTAGCCAATATCAGGGCGTTCCTGAAATGTGACTGCCGGCTACTTGACTAGACATCTTATGGGCGCCTGGCAGGTCGAGGTGACATATCCACCATCGGGTCAACCAGCACAGGCGGACAGGAATTCTGGAGGGCGGCCCGGCACAGCGCCAGGAAGGGCCTGCTGCTTGGTCCGGGGGCATGGAGCTTAAGAGGATTATTTAGTACTCTTGATGATGTGATAATTAGTGCTTTCCTGCAGAAGGTACTCTAAGTTCTAAATAAGTGTCATGTGGGTCAAGTCCGAATGACAACGGAAATCCGTTTCAGTTTGCTTTTAGTGGGCACAGGGGCTTGGAAAGCATGTTAAGTGTGTAGTCAGGGCTCGAGGGAAGACAAAGCCTTCCGGACTCGTGAATCACAGCCAAGCTGCAGTTAGGACAGCGAGGTCTGACTCAAACTTCCCCTTATTCTCTTAAGGTTCTTAATTCCATCTCAGCAAATTCATTTATTTGGGCCTCCGTTTACGCACCTATAAAAGGAGGCAATGAATTTTCCACCCCCATTGGGTTCTTCTGAGGATTGAACACACGTTGAAATATTTCCAACAGTGTCCAGCAATAGTATAAACTCGTGGGAATCTAAGCAATTACGTGATACTGCCTAACAGGGCCTGCCATCAGTCAGATCTGTTATTTTCATAAATCACCTGTCATTTGGAAACAAAAATTTATAGAAAAATTGCAAGCAGATCACATGCAGCACAAAGGCTGCACTTTTCTTTTTTCTTTGTTTGGCTTTTTATGTCACACCTTACAATGCTCAAGGGTTATTTCCTACTTTGAACTCAGGAATTACTCCTGGCAGTGTTTGGGGGACTATAAGGGATGCTGGGGATTGAAGCCAGGTCAGCCATGTGCAAGGCAAATGCCCTTTCCGCTGTGCTATCACTCCTGCCCCTACTAACCTTTTCTTTCTGTCCCCAAGTTCCCTGAAGTCCCCCCTCCTTTTGGCTTTTTTTTTTGGGGGGGTCACACTCAGTGATGCTAAGGAGTTACTCCTTGGGGTGCTGTGGTGATGGTGGGGAATGCTATGGGATGCTGAGGATCGAACCCAGGTTGGCCGCATGCAAGGCAGATGTCCTCCCTGCTGTACTTTCGCTCTGGCCCCTATAATTTTTTTTTTTTTTTTTGCTTTTGCATCGTGTGATGCACAGGGGTTACTCCTAGCTCTGCACTCAGGAATCACTCCTGGCGTGCTCAGGGGACCATATGGGATGCTGGGAATCGAACCTGCGTCAGCCACATGCAAGGCAAATGCCCTACCCACTGTGCTATTGCTCCAGGCCCCACTATAGGTTCTTAAAAAAAAATTGGTATACTGATTTTATATCAAAGAACTAGATGATAAATACTAAAGTAGAATGCAATGTGTATTTCTTTAAGGCAAAGTTATACAACGTACTAATAACTTTTATTTTGAAAATTGGGTCCTTATTTGGTTTTCATGTTTGCTGCTGGGGAACAGACCCAATGCCTCACACATGCAAGGGATATGCTTTACTTGCTTGAGGCCCACATCACCAGTTCCTGAATCCAAATTCTGAGTGGCAGGATTGTTTCCTGAAGTAATGGAATGAATCACGGTCCTAAGAATGGCTAACACATCTTTAGTACCCTAGAGTTGAATGTGTTACTACATCAAGGGCAACATCGTGATGTCATTAGTGGGAAATTCAAAATCATATATATTTTAGTTTATGCTTTTTTTTACTTAGCTCACCCAATAGTTATTTTTCAAGCATAAGGCTTGGCTATTTTTAAATAACTTGGTGTATGCTACTGACATTTTCACTTTCTTCTCTGATTCTGAACCTATTTCTATACATTCTAAATGGCATTTCGACAGATGGAAAAAAGAAGTTGGTACATCAGGACCAATTTCTTCTTTCAAGTCTAGGCTAATGCTAAACAAAACTATTATTCAAAACATCTTCATGAAAATTAGAGAGTTGGTAGTTCTCTGAAACGCATATGAATTTTATTTGACTCAATTTACTAAAATCTCATTGAAAATCCTTTAATGTTTGGACCCACCCTCCATTAGGGAAAAATCGCTATGGGCATTTCAGAATTTTGAACCTGGGTAACAAAAGAGGCAAAAGACATGGTTTGGGATGAAATCTAAGACTTGAATACTAGTGTTTTCAAGCTTTAATAAAATATATACCAATTCCAAGTATCAAACATGAAATTAAAATTCAAATCCATGGGTTTACTCTTCATAAGCACCAAAATTAAATCCTGTTCACGGAATCCTATGTAAGTTACTTTTGATTTGGACAATGCATTCAGAGATGAGTTGCAATTAGGAGGACAGTGTTCATTGAATGCATCGTATTTTAAAAAATCAACTAACATTTCAAAACCACACATAAAGAAACCTGAAAAGTTTACTATTACTAAAGTTATTCGGGACAACATTATGCTGCAGATAAAAATACATTTCTTATATGTACATGTAGATTCCTACATGAAAGAAAGGATTCAGTTTCAAATAGAAAAGGACTGCCCATTGAATTCAACGAGGTCTCAGATTGCCAAACTGATGTAATTACCAGGGCAAGGAGAACTGAAAATTGGAAGAACACAAGTTAAAGCGAGGATAAAAGTTCAGTCACCTGCTCCTGAATAGTGGTAGAATTGAGTGAGGAGTAAGCAGGAGACCAAGTAGAAGGAAGACTTAGAAGAAGGGCAAAGAATGCCTCAACTTTGACCAGAAAGGATCGGAGAACCAAGCAAAGCTGAGAGCAGATGATACAGCTGCAGTGAGATGCTTGAAACTAAAATTTGATAGTTGACAGTTACAGAAACTCAGTAAAATCATCTTAAAATGAAATTAGACAAGGCATCGAAAATTGCATCAAGAACCAATATTACATGACCAGATAGCTCAACATGGCATTGTCATTTTAAAAAACCTCCCCAAATAACAATCAAGTCACCAGAAGACCTTGGTTTCGGATCACAGTCTTTGAAGCTTACGAAAGTCCCTGACTGTCTAGGAGAGACAGCACAATGCTCCACAAAGAAGCTCTGCTGAGCTGTGTGAGTACCAGAAACTCCTGGACAGGCCCTGGATCCTGGATTCTTCAAAGTGAGGGAACTGCACCAGGCTTCTTCCAAGCAAAAACACTTGATCATTTTGTTGACAATGAATTAGATTGGGGTTGTTAAAAACAACCCCAACATCGGCGGGGAAGGCAAAGGGCTGAAGTTAAGCAAGATAAAGAAAAATCACAGAAATTTCATGCAAGGGTAGAACATTCAAGTTCTTTGTTTCCTAATTAATACTGTATGTCAAAGTAGCATGTAAACCAAATTTGCCAAACAAAAAAAGTTTTCTCATCCTCAACAGATGAGAATGACTGCAGCACTTGTGATCTTTGATCACCATGAACTACTCACACTAAAAGACTTAGAAATGTTTGAAGAAAATAAATTAACCTTGAAACAAAGAAGCAGATGTTTTGGTCAAACTTCAAACATGAATTATCAGAAATTAATTACTGGCCCCCAACAGGTTAAAGATAAAAGGAGGCCCTAAAGGGTCTCTATAGGAGCTGATATACACACAAGTGAGTGTCACTTTTTTATCCTAGTTTATTAAATATTGCTTCTTTGGGATGTGTTTATAACAACTCCCAGAACATTTTTCATGTAAGGTTTCAAAGCGATTCTATTAAAATACAGCTTCAATATAAAGTTTATCACAGTTTTACAGTATTCAAAAATGACAGACCTGCCTTAAAAAAAAAGAAAACCAAAAAAAAAAAAGGACTGTTACACTCAAAACATAAGAAAACAATTAAATAAACAAGTTTGGCATTTCCATAACTTTATAGTATAAAACAGAATATTAAACCTATTACTGGCAAGCGGACACTGAAGTATTTCCTAGTTTGAAATGGAAATGTGCCGCCATTTCAACACGCTATACAAGTTCACTATACAAAAGATGATATTTTTGATGGAAGAAGTGCACCCTGAATTTTTTTGCCAGCTTGGATTATTTAACTCTTAAAAGTCAAAAAAAGTCCTTTTTCTTTTTAAAATTGAAGGCTGAATTCAATTGTGTTTTTTGTTTTGTTTTGTTTTTTGTTTTTGTTGTTTTGTCACATTTGTCAACCTTCCTGGTTAAAAAAACAATATTGTCTATGGACGCCCACCAGGGGGCAGTGTAAGATTAGCCATTAAATCACGAACAGCTGCAAATATTGTGCATTCACCTGCAACAGAGAAAAATGGTCATTAGCTATTCGCAATACAGGAGAGATGATGTTAATATACTGGCGAGGACGGGGGAAATTAAAATCGGCAAGAACTCTAAAAATCAAATTGAAAGACTAAATTTTAACTGCACAGGTTATAGGGGATTCAAGTTTTGGTGTTGAATATCAAAGAATGTCTGGTTTGGGTTTTGTTTTTCCCTGGTGAGGAAATTTGGGGCCTGTCCCACTTTGGTGTGAGTTTTAAAATATATGCCTAGAGTTTCTCTACAGAAACACTGAAGCGTTGGACAAGCTTTTGAAGTTGGGCTTCAAAGGCCAGAGACAACTTGCGC